TTTTTTATATCACAAGTCATATTCAAAGCAACTCATAACATATATAAGTTAAAAACCATAAAATCAAGTGAAACAAAATGATTCAAATTAACTACAACATAATATTTAAGGTAAAATATATTAAATAATAAATATAATTATATAACTATAATTAAAAAATAAATTTGGGGTTAAAAAAATCATAACAAAATTATATAACTATTCTTTCACTTCAATCAAGCTCGAATTTTAGGATTCAATCGAGCTTCTAATTTTTTTTTTTTGAGTTCAAGCCTTTTTGAGTTCAAGTTTCAATATTATATTTCGAGTTTGAGTTGAACTTGATAATTTTTAGCTTGTGAGTTTGAGTTGAGCTTACTTTTAAAGTTTTCAAGTTCGAGTCGAGCTCAGCAATACTCGAGTTCGACTTGACTCGTTTAACAAACGACGTTGTTTGGTTTATTTTTTTTTTTTAAAATAAAAATCTCGGTTTTTTCCAGTTTTCAGCCGATCCGGTTCGAACGGTTCAACAATTCTGGCCGGTTCACTAATAGCGGTTCAACCGGTTTAGATTGAATCGAACTAAATAACAATTTCTGATTAAACCGGTTGAACCGGCCGATCCGATCCGATTTTTAAAACAGAGCCCCCCACCCTCGTCGGCTGAAAGAACAATACATTTTCCCTATAGAACATCGTCTACACCCTAATTAGATCTCCCTCCCAATTAAATCCCGAAACACCTATATTACCCCTACCTCGTGGGATTAAATCTTGTTATATTGCGATTGAATATAGGGTTAGCAATTTAGGTATTTAGGAGCTTGGGTGACAACAACGATGATGATCAGTTAGTGGCTGGTTCGATAATAAATATGGTGAAGGGTGACCAAAGATAACCGACGACGGTTAGAAATGAGATTTAAAATATGAGATTTTGGGTTTTATTATGATTTAAAAAAATATATATTTTTTAAAAATAAATAATAATACTTTCAAAAAGTTGAAATAAAAATTTTAAAAAATATATATAAACGCGACATGTGGTAGATAACAGTATTTTTTAACGATTGTTACTATGTATGCACTTAAAAAATAACATTAAAATTATTAGACACCTAATTCTTTAAAGTATCTAAAATTAACGAAAGGATAAAATTGTAGAACTCCTTTTTCCCCATTAAAGCTATATTAATGTTTTAACGTAAAAAGTGGATGTATTTGTTCCCATATGTAATGGGGTAAGGGGAGGTAAAATAGTAGGCTACCCCCAAAATCAGATTGAGAGCAGCTTCCGTAGAAGACCTCCGAATTATAAAATGCCCTCCGTAAGACTCAATCCCACGACCTGGTTAAGAACCTTAACATACATCGATGTAAATAGATATTTTATATTTTTATATTTTTCATAACTAAACACCTTAACATACATCGATGTAAATAGATATTTTATATTGAATATTTTGACGATAAAATCTCTCATTTGATGATAACAACGATAACATCATGAATCATTAAAAAAAATTCGTTTAACTTACACCGACATAAATAAATATTTTATGAAACTAAATGTTGAGCGATCGCTTTTTTTTCCCGACATATTCAATAGAATATTTAAAAAAATATCTTACATTAGTATAAATAATTTAATAATATTCTACACCATAAATAATAGGTTTAACTACTTCAAATACCACTAACCTTTAAGCGTTGACTCATTTATACCACCAACGTTTTAATTTTGTCAATTTTAACACTAACGTTTACTTTTAAGTGCAATTATATCACTCCGTCGTTAATGATTTAATGACACGATGGCATAGCAACGACATGATGTTACGTCATTGTCGTGAATGCCTCATCCAAACGACATCATTTTGACGTTTTTGTTTTAGTGTTCAAAAGACCCAAAGTGACGTCGTTTTGCTTGAACCCTAATTTTCCTAGGACTAAACTCAAATTTTCCCATTATCTTTTTTCTCTTCTTCCTCCTCATCTTCGTTTGCATCTCTTTTTTCATGGTTTTCTTGGCAACCAAATAGATTTTCCCGACAAACTTAAGGTCTTCGATTATGTCAAGGCTTATGCAAATCACTTCAAACAAGGGTTTAGCGGTGTGCCAAATATCCCGAAATTCCCTTTGAACAAGGGTCCCGAAGCATTTCACGGCAAAGTGATACACTCCATGCACTACACGGCCATGGAAGATGAAAAAGCAGTGGAATTCATCAAAGGCAAATGAGTCATCGTTGTTGGGTTCCATAAATCCGCACTGGACATCGCCATGGAGTGTTCTATAGCAAATGGGATGGATAATCCATGCACGGTTTTATACAAGACAACACACTGGAACCTCCCTGATTGTCTTCCATGAGAGCTTTCATTGGCGCATATGTATCTTACTTGTTTCTCAGAGCTCATGGTTCATAAGCCCGATGAAGCGCTTCTCCTTGGTCTTTTAGCCACAGTTCTTGCACCTCTTGTCAACTTCAAATCAAATGGCATGGCGTTTGTATATTTTTTTCACTTTTGGTTATTTGAAAGAGATGGGCGTGTTCGAAATTTGTGGAGAGTGACATAAGAAGGAAGCTTCGTTTGGCGAAGAATGGCATCGTACCAATTTCACAGTTTCCTCTATGAAATATGTTTGGTTGCCAAGAAAACCATGGAAAATGAGATGTAGATGAAGATGAGGAGGAAGAAAGAGAAAAAAATAATGGGAAAATTTGAGTTTAAGTCTATAAGAAAATTAGGATTTAAGCAAAACAACATCATTTTGAATCTTTTGAGCACTAAAACAAAAATGTCAAAACGATGTCGTTTAGATGAGGCATCAACGTCAGCGATGTCATTCCATTGCAATGTCATCGTGCCGCTAAATCAATAACAGCTGAGTGACATAATTGCACTTAAACTACTAAAATTGGTAAAATTAAAACATTTGTGGTATAAAGGAGTAATCACTTAAAGATTGATGATATTTGAAATAGTTGACCCTAAATAACAATTCTACTTTTTTTCCACAATGAATAATATTAAATCTCGTAATAAATGAACTTGGGTTTATGATACATAAAGATGGGGGTGTAGATGAAGACGTTACACATCGTATAAAGGCGGGATGGCTAAAGTGGAGGGCTGCTACTGGAGTTTTGTGTGACAAGAAGGTGCCTCTAAAACTAAAGGGAAAATTTTATAGAATGGCAATAAGACCAGCGCTGCTGTATGGATCAGAATGTTGGGCAATCAAGAAGGATCACGTAAGAAGGATGGAGGTCGCAGAAATGAGAATGCTTCGATGGACATGTGGTAGGACTCTGTGGGACATGGCACCTAACTCTGCTATTAGGATGTACTTGGGGGTGGTGCTTGTATCCGAAAAATTGAGGGAGGGAAGACTACGGTGGTTTGGGCATGTCCTTAGGCGACAACCGTCGGATGCGGTCAGGAGGGTAGAGTCGATTACAGTCGACGGTATCAGAAGGAGAGGACGACCAAGACGGAAGTGGGAAAACTGCTTGAGATCTGATTTGAAGGAATTAGCCCTTACCGAGGACATGACCTCCGATAGGAAAGTATGGAGACTTAAGACCAGGGTAGTTGAGTAGTGCGGTTCACAGCCATAGGGTGTAACATCTCTGTCTTCTTTTTAATGTCTTTGTAGTACTTTCCATGACTTCTACTTTATACATGTTTCTGTCATTGAAATGTATGAAGGCTTAGAACTAAGGTATCGGAGTAGTGTTGCCTTAGTTTAAGAATTAACTCATTTGAATTTATTCTTTCTCGTAGCTTGCTATTATTAACTTCTGTGTATCATTTCTATTCATGTTTCCTCTTTTTGATTTTAGCGGGGTCTTACATTTTCAGTCTATATGCAGAGATTTCTATGTAGGAAATTATTTGCAGGGAATTATTTATATGGATTACTCCCCATTACAGACGCACATATCAAGACTGTTCATCTATGTATTTATTTATTTATTTATACACGCATTTGCATCTTATCTTTATTTTTAATTTTCTGATTGCTGGAGGTCTTCCACGGAAGCTGCTCTCAACCTGGCGTTGGGGTCAACCTACTACCCTACCCCTTACCCCATTGTATATGGGAATCAGGGTTTTGTTGTTGTTGTTGTCGTAATAAATGAACTCCGAATATTCTCTAAAACAATCCTCTCATTATAAAAAAAATGAATAAATAAATTTAAAAATAAACTAATAATCAATTGATCTAGTGTGATAAGATATTAGATTCCTTTAAGTAAAATCAATGGTTCAATCATTGATTTTTACGTATGAAATAAACTAGATTGAGATAATTGTTCTTATAATGAACATCTGTAAAATTTGATATAGATTAAAAAAAATTGAAAAAGAGGAGAATTCAAATGAAATGAATAAAAAATAAAAAGGCAAAACCCAGATCTTCCAACACCAGTCATACGCTCACATTATTATCTTTTCATTTCCCCGTCATTAATTTTTTGCGGCCTTCTTCCTGCCTACATTCTCCTCTCCATTTCACGTTTCAATTTTTATATAACCCTTTAATGTTCTCACCCTTTTCATAGCTTCCTTTGATAAGCTTCCCTTGATTTTTTTTTCTCGGTTCTTTTTGTTTTAGTAAGCAGGTATCTTTTACTTTCCAAAGAAAAAAAATGTTACTTTTTTCTGGCTTGTCTTTCTCAGAAAAAAAAATCAAATCACAACCAACCCAGATCGAGTTTGACTTAAGTGGCTCAGATTCTTGTTTTAATAAGATATTCTAGTAGTTGTAACTTTTTTCTTTTGTTTTTTCCCTTTTAAAATATCGAGAATCCATCTTTTCCAGCTTTGAAAATGGTTGCATGCTCCCCATAGTTGTTTTCTGCTCTCCTAAATTTGGGTCCCATTCCCCCCCCCCTAAAAGCTTCATTTTTTTCTGAACTCCACATGCTCACCAAAACCACTTAAAAAAGAAGATTTTTTTTGTAGTTTTTGTTTATTCATGCATAAAAGATAAATAAAGGAACACTTTTCCCTTTTTCAAATAAATTTCTTTTTTTATCCTATTTTTCTAAAACATTCAGCCACTTTCTCAAATCTTATTGCTTTGGTCAATATGTTTGTGCTCAGTTGTTTATAATGCCCTAAAGGATAGCCTCGGATTCTTTTCTGGTTCACGCCCAAGACGGTATTCTGTGCCGGCTGCTTGATTTTGTGGCTCCTCATTTGTTCTTTTGAGGTATTTCCTTTTCTTGAATGATTGCCATTTCTGTTCTTTTGTTCATCTTGAGCTTTTGGTCTTTGTTTTTTTTGTTGTCAATCCTTTGAAATAGACTTTTTTTTTACCAAATAAACGTTGAAATCCGGTTCCATAACTGTGATGAGTTCATAATTTTTGAAGCTTGTGGTTATAGTGTTTCTGTGAGCTGCACATTTAGGTTAAATATATGTCATATGAGGCTCAATCAGTTAATTACTGCCTTGTTTTTGTTGTGGTTTATTTTGCAGTGACTGCTGTACTGATTTTCCCCCATCTAATTTTGAAGTTCTAAGGCATATGTAAATATGCTTGAGCAGCAGAAATTTCTCTATGGTTCTAGTCTCCTGCTGTTCATCTCTCTTGGATCTTTTCTGTTTGGGGTTGTAATTTCAGAAATACCATTGGGATCCAAACTTTCTGTGGGGGGAAATGATTCATGGGTTTCTTCTAATGGTGATTTTGCAATCGGATTCTTTAGCCGCCCTGATATGCCGAACCGGTTTAGTGTTGCCATTCGTTTCGATTCGAAGTCGATCCCTGTTGATGAACACTCAATGGTTTGGGTCGCCGGGGGTGATGTTACTGTTAGTAACAGCTCCTATTTGGAGCTTCAGATGAATGGAGAATTGGTTCTTTTCGACGCCTTGCAGGGTCAAGAAGTGTGGTCCGCCAAAACAAGCCAGTTATCCGTTGTGGTAGCTTTCCTTCGTGACGATGGGAATCTTATCTTACTGAATGAGAAGAAAGTTGTGGTTTGGCAAAGCTTCGATTATCCAACCAATACTCTTCTTCCTGGTCAGAGACTTTCTCCCTTTAGAACGTTGAGAGCTGCGAGCCAAAACGGTGTTTCGAGTTTATATAGCCTCTACATGAATGTTTCTGGTCAGCTACAGTTAAGGTGGGAAAGCAGCATCATCTATTGGAGCATTGGAAGGCCTTCTCAATCGAATGTCAATGCTATTCTGACTTCTTATGGGAGCCTGCAACTTGTGGCTCCAACCTCTGGACCTCTATGGTCTGTGTATGGAGAAGATCATAATGACACCGTGAAATTTAGGTTTCTCCGGCTGGATGTGGATGGTAATTTGCGGTTATATTCATGGATGGACGTTTCACAAACATGGAGGTCGGTTTGGCAAGCTGTTGAGAATCAGTGTAATGTCTTTGCAACTTGTGACCAGGGAGGCATCTGCGCATTTAATGAATCCGGTTCCCCTGTTTGCACATGCCTGTTTTCCCATATGGTCCACTCGAATACAAAATGCTTGTTTTCATCTCAGCATGGCTGCAAATCAGGGTCGATTCTGGTTGAACATGCCGATATGTTTCTTTACGGAATTTACCCCGTCAATGATTCCATCTCCGTAACTAGTTTAGACAAATGCAAAAGGATGTGCCTCAGTGACTCGAGTTGTACTGCTGTAACCTTCACAAATGATGGCAGTGCAAAATGCAGGATGATGAAAACTCAGTACATTAGCGGTTATTTAGATCCATCTCTTAGTTCGACCTCTTTTGTCAAGACGTGTTCGGACCCCATGGCTGCTGACCCCGTCTTCCCCTTGAAGTCTCCGCCACGAGCACGTAATGAGTCTTATAATATTTGCATTCCTTGTCTAGTTGGAGCAGCCTCGGGCACAATTTTTATGTTTGTTGTGATTCAGTTGGCATTAGGATTTTACCTTTACAAAAGAAGAAACACTTATAAGAGGCTTGCTTCTTTAGCTTATTCCAGCCCTGGTTCCAAATGTCTGATCATGTTATCCTTCACCGAGATCAAGGACCTTACGGAGAATTTCAACCACCGAATCGGGCCAAAGATGTTCAAAGGTGCCTTACCCGACAACCAGCCAGTTGCAATCAAAGAGCTCGAAGCAACCATTGAAGCTAGAAAATTTCGAGTTGCATTGTCAAAGGTTGGAAGCATTTATCACAAAGGACTTGTCAAGCTGGAAGGCTATTGCTGTGAGTCGGATCGGAGGTATTTAGTCTACGAATATGCCGAGAATGGCTCTGTGGAGAAATTCATAGAAGATTCGACACTGGCCGAGAGACTGACCTGGAGAAAGAGAAAGGAAATTTGCCTAAGCGTGGGTCGAGCCATATTTTATTTGCACACGGGGTGTCGAGAATTTGTATGCCATGGAAACCTGAAATGCGAAAACGTAGTTCTCGATGAAAACCTGGAGGCGAAAGTGAGTGAATTTGGATTGGGGATGCTTTATGGTGAGGCAGCCTCCAACATGGCTTCAGCTCAGAAAGATGTGGAGGATTTTGGTAAGATGGTTTTGACACTGGTTAGTGGCCTTAAAGAAGCCAATGATGTGTTTGATTGGGCTTATAAGGAATGGTTCGAGGGTCGTCCGGGGAACGTAGTAGATAAGAGACTCGAGGACGAAGTCGATCCCGATGAACTCGAACGTGTGTTGAGGATTTCGTTTTGGTGCCTTCAAGTGGATGAACGTTTGAAACCTTCAATGGGGGAGGTAGTGAAGGTGTTGGAAGGCTCACTGCCTGTTGATCCTCCTCCACCGCCATTTAGTTGTCGGAGATCACGGAGGGAGGAGGAAGACTCGTCGGAGTTAGGTTCAGTCAAAGACATAGGAATGTAATGTAAAAAGTGATGATTTCCTTTGATTTTTGTTTCCCAATCTTGTACGGTAGGACTAACCTTGGCAGTAATGAGACTTTGAGGGCATGCCATTTTTTCCCCATATACGGTCTGTGTCAATTGGTCATGTATTTTTCTGCAGCATTTTGGATTGGCTTGTACAAGTGGGCTCTCATATCTGGCTAATGCCCCCATTGGTGGGATAAGATAGATCGTCATGTGGACGTGATGAGTTTGTCTTGCACTATAATATTTACCGTGAATCCCAAATTATTTTTTTAAATGGTATAATGAGCTAATTTTTTCACCCACCTGGTCTATTGGGCCAATTTTATCGGAGATTACCTGGCTCCAATTTTACCGGAGTACTACTAATTTTTGTTTTGAATTATCTAATCTTCATTTCCTTCATCTAAATATAAAAATAAATGATTTAAAAAATTATATATAAATTACCGACATAAAAAAAATAAATGATTTTTTTAAATAGAAGAAACTAAGTTTATTCAAAATAGGAAATATCTCAAGTTACAAGGAAGATTTACAATCATAATCGTAAATTAAACATATAATTATGTCAACTTCCTAAAAACATTGAAAAAAACTAGCAAATTAAGATCACATAAGCACCATACAAGAAAATATTAAAAATCTAACAAAAAACTCGAACAAAGATATATACAAACAGAACTAAACAGATTTGACAAGCGAACCACAAAAAGGAATCAAGCTATTGAAAGAACACTGAAAAATCGTAAATCAGCTCGAGCGACGTGAAAAGCTACCTACGAACACAAATCGGGTATCCAAACCCAATCTGAGGGCCCAAAATAAGAAGATTAACAAGATATCAGATAAACGTCATTTTAGTTAGTTGTTGCGATGTCAAATCAACCATTAGGAAAAGATAAATAAAAAAAAGGTAAAACAACAAAAAATCATGTCAAAAAACATAAGAAAACGTATCATACAGACAAACTTATTTAAAATATATATAAAAAGAATTGTGATATAAGAAAAGAAAAGGATAATAAAGAACACCGGTAGTTGGCAACAACATTAAAATTGATGCTGTAGCCGATCAACAAAGATAAAAAAGAAAAGAGATGAGCGGCACATCAATAAAAATAAATAAATTTTAATGACTAAGACCATATATAACATGAAGAGGAAGATTTATAAGTTTTTTTTTATATAAGAAGTGTTTTTTTAGGTGTATTATAATATATTTTTTATTTTCTTAATTGGGAATCTATATATAATGATCGAAAAAAACTACTGAACGATATAATATATTACGAGAAGATGGTCGAATGAAGCGATATCCTCTTACTTTTATACATATAAAAGATATCGTATCGTCCGACTGTCTTCTTCAACACCTTGGGAATTTATACATATAAAACACCTTATGGTCGAAAATCCATAAATACTGAGGCCTCCAAAACATCAAAATGTTTCTCTGGCTCTTAGGAAAGAATCGAACAATGACAAATGCGGAAAGGAAGCGTCGACACATCACCGGAAATAGTAGTTGCACGGTATGCTTTGCGTCGGTGGAAGACACAAATCATTTACTGTGTACATGTCCCTCGGCAGTAACAATCTGGTCGGCAGTTGTCAAAAAAGAAAAACTACAGGATTTTCTAGAAATGGAGACATCTTCATGGCTAAGCTTAAATCTCGGTAAAGCACAAGAGTTTGTAGGAGCGGTGGAACATTGGGACATAATGTTTGGGGCAATAGTATGGAATATATGGTTACATAGGAACTCCATAGCTTTTGACACACCCCTAGAAGACAGAAGAACGGTGCTGGAGCGGAGCAGACACCTTTGGGTAAATACATGTAAAGCGATAGAATCGGAAGAACATCTAAGGGGAGCCCACACTCAACAAATAGTAAGATCAATATCTTGGAAACGACCACCTGAAGGCTGGTTGAAAATTAATTCGGATGGAGCCAGAGATATGAGAACAGGAAGAGCATCGTGCGGGGGAATCATCAGAAACCATGAAGGAGCATGGATGATGGGGTTCACTAAATTTGTAGGAGCGGTGGAACATTGGGACATAATGTTTGGGGCAGTAGTATGGAATATACATTTTGCTTTGTGGTTTACCTCCTTTTCGGGGAGGTCTGCATCGGTTCATAGACATAATGGGAGTTGTAACTTCTAATGGATCTTTCATTTTGTATTCAACCTCTCTTTGTTCACTCTAACTTTCTGTTTTTTCCTGTGCAGAAACCGAACAAGGAATCACACGCGCGATTATTCACTCCGTTGTTGAGTTTAAGAGGGATCCTTGCCTCCTTGGCCTAAAGTTTCTGATAATGCAAAAGACCTTGTGAAGAAGATGCTCAATCCTAATCCAAAGCGGCGACTTACAGCTCAGCAATTCTTGGGTAAATTTAGTTCTAATGGTAAAGGTTGTCTGTTCATGGAGCTTTTTACTTGAAACTGAATTGTTTCTAAATTCAGACCACCCTCGGTTGCAAAATGCAAAGAAGGCTCCTTGGGTGAAACCGTGAAGGCAATGCTCAAGCAATTCTCTGTAATGAATAAGCTCAAGAAAAGAGCTCTTGGGGTAATGCTCCGATTCGTTTTTCTGGGAATACAGCCTAAATACAGCTAACCATTCATTAGCTTTTTAACATCTACCGTAGTTGTTTTTGGAACATCTTATACTAATAGGTAATAGCTGAGCATCTTTAGGTCGAGGAAGTTGCAGGCATAAAAGAGGGGTTCCAAGTGATGGATGCTAGCAGTAGAGGCAAGATTAACATTGATCAGCTAAGGGTTGGGTTACATAAACTTGGCCATATATTATTTCTGATGCAGATCTTCAAATACTAATGGAAGCAGTAAGTTCTACCCTGAATTTTGTGTCTGTTTTATGTTCGATCTTTGTCGAGAAGGCTTAAAAAAGTGTGAGATTAGTGTATCGATGCTACAAGTTTGAATGTCTGCATAATTTGACGACACTTTGCTACAACAGTATTGTAAGTAAGAGTATGTGCATGGGTAGCAATTGTTGTACTGACCACAGAAGAACCCATTTGAAACCTGTGCATTGTCATTATATCAGAAGAGTATGTTCATTTTGAAGATACCAAAGTTTTTGAATCTTTTGGAGAAATTGTAACTAAACTTTTCATCATTTTAATATTTTCTTCACAGGGTGACTTCAATGGAGATGGATATTTGGACTACGGAGAATTTATCGCCATCTCGGTTCACCTGAGAAAGATAGGCAATGGCAATCACCTTAAAAAGGCGTTTTGAGTTTTTCGATAAAAATCAAAGTGGTCATATTGAGATTGAGGAACTAAGAGATGAATTAGCGGATGATCTTGAAACAAACAGTGAAGAAGTCATTAGTGCCATCATGCGTGATGTGGATACAGACAAGGTAATGTTTTCCTTTGCTTTCTTCCCGGCATGCTGTTCTGATGTTCGTATACGTCTTGTTCTCGAGTAGAAAACATGATATGGTTCATAATGTATGATGGTTTTCTGATATCTGAACTCATGTCCATGCTTAACTCAAGCCAAATTCTTTTTGATGAATCAGCAGGACGGGAGAATAAATTATGATGAGTTTGTGGCACTGATGAAAGCCGGTACAGATTGGAGAAAAGCGTCAAGGCAATACTCACGAGAGCGGTTCAACAAACTCGGTCATAAATTGATGAAGGATGGATCATTGCAGTTGCATCTTGTTCCTAGATGACCCAACACAACAAACTTTTCTTGATGATACCCTTCATTAAGGGATGCTGTCCTTGATCATCTATTCACATATTGAGAAAATGGGGTTCTCTCATATTTATTGTAAATCATCTTTGTTGTATATCCCACAGTTGAACCATGTCTATGATGTAGTTAGCCTTGGTTGTATATCCCATAGTTGAACCATGTCTATGTATGTAGTTAGACTCATATTAAGTAGCATAAAAAAGGGAAAGATTAAGAATGTGGGGTAAGCCATGATTACAAATGTAGCAGTGAAAGCAAATCATAAAAAACATGACAGGTTGCTAAAGGTAGTCTCTTGTCCTTTGATCAACCGGATGATCATGTTTTACATGATGCTTTTAGCATCAATGGTAAGTTTTTCATGTTGGGGTCTCATAAAATCTACTGAAATATTAGCTTTTGGAGAAGAGACGTCGAGTTTTAAATTCAAAAGCCTGTAATTAGTGTATCTCATATGCTTTTGCAGACGGTGGACTCCTTTGTGCCTTTTCTGTTGCAATGCCTTTTGACCATTGTAGATACTGCAGAAACCGGAAAGCATGCGCGCGTTATTTCCGGGATCAAAATTTATCCTAAAGTTCCCACCGTTTACCACGTATGAAAACAGTCATTGATGCTTATCTTGGTGGAATAGCTACCACTTCATCTAACACTAACATGTCGAATTCTCAAGGGAGGGGCGTTGTTCTACTTAGATGTTCCGAGTTTGAGCATCTGTGTTTGCATTTTTAATGACTGTGAAAGATTTTAAACAGATATTACCTTGTAATCACCTCGGACTACTAAAAATTAAATTTAACCAGGGTAAGGGTAATTAGTAACATACATGATTTAGGTTTTCCATTATGAGTACTTCCCCTATGAAGCACACTTGCATCAAAATGGTTCACATATGTATGATTCTTCACTTCATTTCCTCTTGCTTTGATTCCTCATTGGGAGGTTGAACCGCCGGAGGGACTCCACCATCGATGCAACTTCTACACTTGCTTTCTATCCATCCTTCAATGTCATTCTCCCCATTCCCACCGAGATGCCTTCCACCTGCAATAACACCTACGATAGTTATCACAGCCAGCACCACGATCAGGGTTTCGATTCCCTCACATTAGGAGGCGCCTTGAATACGAGCACATATTGACCAGGTACCCTTGCTTCCATAGCTACAATGACGGCCAAAGTAAACTAGATGTGCTGGTAAACTCAGTGAAGTCTTGCAGACATGCAAGTGAAGGGGAAAACAAAGAAACAATATGAAATAATGTGGAGAGGAAGAAGTAAATAGCAGTATATATATAAAGGGAAAAGGCACATTTTCAGTCCCACTATTGGGCACATTGGATCTCCTTTGTTGTGATTATTTCTCATCCAACTTTTGGTTACTTTATCTAGTTTTGTTTAGGGTTTAAAACATGATGAGGCTGCTAGGGATGCTCCAAAGCAAGTGAAGGATTATATATTAGGACTGAGTTTGTCCTTAGTGATATCACATGTTAATGTTAAGAGTCCCAAGGTGAAACGTATTTTAGCTCATTCAAACTTTCCTAGTTTTTCTGATTCCCTGATGTCTCTTGTAGAGGTTATAACTTCCCTCTCGCAGTTAGGGATAGACAGAGGGGTGCAGGGGTGCGATCGTATTCGCTAGGATTATCAAATTCGTTTATATTTTAGATTTTTTTCTTGTATTTTTTATTAATTATTTAATTTCACGCCTCTGAAATTATTAATATAACTTCTTAAGCCGCACTCCGATATAAATTTCTACGTTCGTCCCTATTCACAGTTTCACTTAACCTGACCCTATTCATCAGTTTGTCTATATAACACAATTTTATACATTTAAATAAAAATAAATAATTGTTACTTCAATATCTAATAGAAATAATATATTTAATATGACACAATTTTATCTGTATAACATTAAAATGATGTTACTTCAGTAAATGATAAAAAAATAAATTTTATTTCAATATTTAATAAAAATTATATATTTAAATAAAGGGTAAATTGCGTGTCTAGTCATCTAATTATTCTCATGATTTTGATTCGGTCATCCAACTATTTTTTAAATCATATATAAAGTTATGTTTTGGTCACCTGTCATTAAAAAATTAATGATGATGTTAATGCGTCACTATAGAAATATTATTATTAAAAAAATCACCTCAACAGTTTTGTTTATTTTTCAATGATGACCGATCAAAACAGAACAAAAATATAATTTTGGATATGATTTAAAAGAATAGTTAGGTGATCAAAACAAAATCACGATAATAATTGGATGACTAAATAAGTTGTTTACCCTTCGATAAATTAGCCGTGAAGGCGGCCCAAATAAACAATCCCACGGTGTTTGGTTGTATTCAACGTTCAAGGAAGAGAAGACTTTGAGAAGGAATACAAGATGAAGTCTTGACGACTTTTGATCCCCAATTCCTCTCTAAATACGCGGAATTCCTAGGGTTTGTCCCTCCCGTCAAATCCCTGATTACCCAGAAAAAGGAAAACCAAATCAGTTCTTCTCAATCTTATCAGTTCGATCCAGCTGAGGGTAATTGAATTAGGATGGGGACTCCACAATTCCCAGATCTCGGAAAACATTGCAGCGTCGAAGATTGTAAACTGATCGACTTCTTGCCTTTCACTTGTGACCGCTGCCACCTGGTTAGTATACCTTCTTTTATTGGTCCTTCAATTCCTTCCCTTTCTTTCATGATTTATAAACCTTGGTAAATCAATTTGGGTATTTTTAAAGATTACCCGGGTTAGCTTCAATACCAGTACATATGTGTTAGGTATGTTTTTAGATTTAGATAATTCATTGACAGTTTAGGCTATTTCTGACTTGGTTTTTTGTTTCTACTTTCTGAAAAGGTAAAGCGAAATGAAAACTGATTAACGATGTGGAAATTACTGGACTGAATCACGAATTTCAACATAATTTATTCTTGGGTAAATTACGCGTTTAGTACTTAAATTATCAGTTTTGATCTATTTTAATACCTAAACTTTCACTTTTTTCTAAATCACAAGTAAAATTTAGTTTTTTGTTTCATTTGTGTATGCTCTTCAAAATTTAATGTTAAGTTTTTGGAAAAAAAGAAAGTTTAGATACTAAAAGGGACTAAAAATGATAATTTATGTACTAAAATTTTTTAATTTTTAACTGAGTAGTAAAATGAAACAAACACTAAATCATAGTTATGGTTTTGAAAAAATTAAAAGTTTAGGTGTTAAAACGGATCAAAACTGATAGTATAGGTACTAAATACATAGTTTACCCTTTGTTCTTTTGCAGTATACATAACTATTTTTTTTTTCAATTTTGCATAACATGCTTCTACTATACAGTAAAGCAGCTTGCTGCTAGAAAGTTTCAGTCAATTGTTAATTGCATCATGTAAAACTCTCTGCATTTAACTTCCACTTCCTGTAAAATGGTATGTGGATAGAATTAGTTCTATTGTTAATCAAGAAAATATAGTCGAAGGGAACCAGTTTCTCTGATTTGCTCCACCAATCTATCTGTTGTATCTTTCCCTCCAAACAAAGTATATCATTCGATTCCATGCAATGCACAGTACAGTACAGTATAGTTTTGTTATTTTTTTTATGTTTAATTCTTCAAAAATATGTTTCGCTTTTGTATCTAATCGAACGTTTTGTTCCTTTAGGTGAAAAGAATTAAGTAGCTAAAGCAACAATCAAATGAACCTTAGAGGTTGACCAGCATCTGCAATTAGCCTTACTAGTAATAACTCCATTGGTTGAAAATGATAGTTCCCTTGCATCGCAGCTTTGCTCGAGATTTTTTTGATTGCTCTCTGGTTTCTTTTTGTTATGTTTCTAGAACGTGTTAGGTTTCAGAATAAGAACTTGCAAAGAATTCATATCAACCAAAAGCTTGGATCCTTTTTTAAATGATTTCTGTGTAGCAGGTTGTTGTTAGCTTAGCCTATTGTTAAGTTGTTTTGGTGAAATTTCTCCGTTTCATTTTGAACAGGTATATTGCCTGGAACATCGGAGCTATATTAAACATTGCTGTCCAAAAGCTGATAAAAAAGATGTCACCGTTGTCGTGTGTCCATTATGTGCTAAAGGAGTTCGCTTGATTCCGGATGAAGATCCGAACATCACATGGGAAATGCATGTTAATACTGAATGTGATCCATCAAATTATGACAAGGTCACAAAGAAGAAAAAATGCCCGGTTCCTGGCTGCAGGGAAGTCTTGACATTTTCGAACACAATCAAGTGTAGGGACTGCACGATAGATCATTGCTTAAAGCACCGTTTCGGGGCCGATCACAAATGTCCCGGACCTAAGAAACCTGGAACCAGCTTTCCATTTATGGGTATTTTAAGCAGGAGTAAGAAAGAAACAAAAACCAACCAAGCTCCTGCTACATCTTCATCTAAATGGGCGACAAGCTTTCTTAATGCAGCTTCAACTGTTCGAGCCTCGGCCGAAGCAAGCATGACCAAATTGGGTAGTGAAATTAGTCAAAAGCTGCAAATTGCGAGGGGCGGAGTTGGGCCGAGTAGCAGCAGCGGTGGGAGCGCAGAGCCAGCCGAGGAGTGCCCCCAATGCGGGGCGAAGTTTTCTTCAGTTGCAACATTGGTGGACCATGTGGAGAAGGTACACGAAAGGAACAACCGGTCTCGAGTCTTTAAGATGTCTATCGACGTCTGCCCCAAGTGCAGTAAAGGGTTTCGCGATCCGGTTGCCCTCGTAGAGCATGTTGAGAGGGATCATGGTGGCATTTCGAAAGCTTGAAGGGTTTTGGACTGCAAAATTTGTGAAATGCATATTGCTGGATAGGTGATCGAATCATCTTGTATTGCTTACATTCTTTTGGTGGAAACTGGAAAGTTGCTTTAAAGAACTCAGCTTCAGATCTAATCATTTCGACTTCCAATCTATTTGTTTCATGTAACCTTAAACTTTAAGGATGCATTTTGTCTGGTTCACAAAATATAATATTATTTATGAAAATCTTATAATCATACTATAATATTATCTATTTACTTTACTTTGGTTTCTTTAGTTTGTAGAGAGATTATAAAATTATTTTTAAAAAATTGTCATTAAGAAAAAATAGAAAAAAATTCGAGATGAGTTGTAAATAAATTGAGAACTTTAATAATATATGAAGGTTTGTGGAGTAATATTTTTAAATATTTTGAGATGAATTAAGAGAAAAAAAATTAACTTCAACCCGATCAATCTTACATGTAACACTCTTAATCCGTATACGTCTCGATATCCGAGTCAAAGATGTCATATCAACTTAAATTCTAAAATTTTCATATTCAGATAACTTGTACTACCTTTAAAGAATCAGTATTTTGTATTGATATACACACTGGAATTTAATTCTGTTTCTTCCTTTGAAAACTAGACTCGAATATGAATCTATCTATATAAAGAACTCATTCTAATTCATTATGTACAATTTATGGTGAATTTTTAAAGTTGACTGACAGAATATGTTTTGTGCAGAATCTGCTGCCCGTTTTTCTTACATTTCCTTGATTAAAATTCATATTTTTTTATACACCTTGAAATTGATCTCCGTTTGTTTTAAACAAAATTAAATTTATATACGAACACAATATATAAAAATCACCTCCAAATAATTTTTATAAAAATTTTTGTGAACTTTCAAACTCACTGCCAAATTCAAGATCTAAGTTGTTTCCATTAACTTCATCCTTAAATTCTTCATTAATTCTTTAAAATCATTAACTCTTTATAATCCTTAAAACATAAGAAATCAACATCTCTTTCATCAACTTAAGATGAACTTAAACATAAACCATAATAATATTTATGTCAAATGAAAGAAGATTTCACGTAGATGATTTTATCCTTCATGTACAAACTTTAATTTCTAACATTAATGGATCAAAAATAAAAAAAAGAACCTTTCTCTCACCTTGAAACATAACCCACGACTGGAAGAAGAAAGCATGAAAGAATTCTTGAATTTTCTATGCATAAGATAACCTTTACACTTTATTTAAAAGATTAAAAATGAATTAAAAATTGTAAAATGACCAAATTGCTTTGAATGAATCCTTTTATTTTTATCTCTATTTTAATATTATTAAAATAATTATAAAATTCTTATCTCTTAATTTTTTATTTTGATCCTTTAATTTTTTAAAATTTCATTTTAATTATTAAATTTTCACTGTTTAGACAAATCTAAAAAATTACACTATTCTGAGTAAAATTTCTCTGATATAAAATATGAAAATAATATTTTCAATCATTTTCTAACACCTTTCTAATTTTCGTAAAATTTCGGCTCTATCCGATTATCCGATTTCAATACCGAATTTTACTGCTTATAGCTTTTAATACAATTCCCGTATCAAAAATCTAATACTCACTAAAATCTATGTTTTAATCTAAATTGTTCATTTACAGACTAAAATATATAACTTTTAAAAATTATAAATTTTGGTTTCTAGACTTTTTAAAGTTTATACTTTAGTCCTTAAACTTTCAAAACTTACAGTTTTGTCATTGATCAAAATTTAGGGTATTACATTACAGTAAACCTAACCTAAAATCTGATTAAAACATTTAACCTTATCAAATTAAAATCCATTGAATTACAATATTTTTTTAAATTAATCACTGGTATTCAAATATATTAACCGATTAATTTAGATTAAATACTATAGAGATAACGAATCCTCCCAACTCAATTTATTACATTTACAAACGTTGAAGTTCGAACCTTTACTCTGCTAAAGGTGGGGTCTCTTAAATTATTCTATAATATTCTGTACCGTCGGATTGAATAAGAGAATGGTTGCCCTTGGATCTGGATGGCTATAAAATTAAACCTCAATTTACGAAGCAATTGGCCACCAAATCTATTCCTCTTTCTGGCAGCTCTATCCCCTTCATCTCTGCTTCTCCTTGACCCGAGACCCGGCCGCCCAGGTTTGTAAAAGATCTGCTTTTTATGACTTAGGTTTGTAAGGATTTGATCCAGATTAGGTTGAATTAGGCCAGAAGATTAGCAGTTTATGGTCTGGTTGATTGATTTTGCGTTCCATATGTTTCATTTTGAAAGTTTGGTTTTTCCCTATCGGTTTTCTTGTTTTGGGTCCTCTTTAAAAATGGAAGCAGATATATAGGGTTTCCTACGTAATTAGGTTTTTTTTTGGGGGGGGTGCAATTTTTAGTTTTTACTGCTTCTAGTTCACTAGGAAACTTAGGAAGTTGATTTTGTTTTCTGCAAAAAAAAAAAAAAAGTGGAACTTTGTAGGTGGGAGTCAGGTTCATTGGTAGGAGTTATTGAATCATACAATACGGAGAGCAATAATGCTGGAAATTGTTTGATAATAAAATTTTGAAATATCCTAGTCTAATAAGAACCAACACTCCTAGTTCAACTGTTCAATGAGGATTTCCCTTAACTTGAAAATATCCAAGTGAGAGACCCAAACTGGACTTGAAAAATACCCTGCAAATCTAGCTTAAAGGTATGTGGAACTATGATGCAAGACGGGTGGGAACCCTAAAATGACCACTGAGATCCCCCTCTGAAATTTATAACAATTCCTACTCAAACACCCAACCTAGCCACCATAAAGAACCAATTTAAATGCTAATAGAGGCTGTTGCCTGTGTGCTCCTTTCTCAACTTCTTTGCTAGGATCCAAATTAATAGAGTGATTTTTTTTCTGAACAATGACTGACTGAAGTTAGCGAGAAATTGATTGGAGGTTTTGTAGCTCACCGTATTTCATAGGGCCTTTTGTGCACATGAGTTATCCGTTTCATAGGTTAGCCTTAGATGTTGGTTGCAATATCTGTGTAATATGATATGTGGAATTAGATATAAAAGATTACATTCCATGTGTTTAAGAAAGACCTAGTTTTCATTCTGTAGAGTCGATCCCAATGACTTTGTTTGTTGATCAGATATTTTCGTTAGTTGGTTCTATTTTGGGTGGGGTTTTAAAACTTTTTTCCATTTGGTTATTTTCCTAGAAACTTGTCTATGCCAGCCAATTGTTTGCTGCAACTTGAATATAAGTCTAAATGCACTAATCTAAGACTATACAATTGGCTGCTTATTCTCACTTCTCTGAACTAATCTCTAGCGATTATCATGAAGTTATTTGTGATGATCATTTGGGATATCCCTGTTAGGATATTGTTTTGCATTAGAAGAGATCAGGTATTGATCGAAAAGGAAGAGAAATGAAAAATGGAGAAGAGTATATAGGTTAGAATGTTACCTTTGAGTCAATCTACACTATTTGCTAATTTTGTTTGTAAGATTTTTCATGTCTCTTTTTTCCTATTTTTTCTTTGGCTATAAGTTTTTGTTGCACCACCCATGCAACTTTTACACATTATGTTAATTTGTTACTATTGCAGCTTGAAAATGGCTGCAAAATATATAATTGGTTCTGTTGCTGCATCTTTTGCCATTGCTTATGCATTCGATAATCTTGTTGCCGATCAGAAGATTTTTGGAGGTAAGCTGCTGTACTTTTTGTAGATTCTGTGTCATTGGCTGTTTCAGGGGGTTTAACAATGGCTTTTCCCCTCCAACTCAGGGACTACACCTCACACTGTTTCAAACAAGGAATGGTGGGAAGAAACTGACAAGAAATTTCAGGCATGGCCACGCACTGCTGGTCCACCTGTGGTGATGAACCCCATCAGCCGCCAGAATTTCATTGTTAAGCCGGGATCCGAATCTGGAAGACCTAATGTATGCTTTTCTTTTGTCAAAGTTTAAGTTTCGATTCACTGTGAAAAGTTGTGGTCTTGAGACTTTACAGTAGTTGTTAGTTTGGAAATTTGTCTGCTTTTTCTTGTGTCGAAACTCGATCTGATCAGAGGATCGTTTGATGACGATGTCAATCGTACTAGATATCAATAAATATGTGAAGCATACCAAACTGTTTTTTTTTTCCATTTCCAGATTTCATCAGCACATAAATTTTGATTCCTTGAATTGCTTTTCTAACATTAGGCTGAGTGAGTATTCACCTTGTCTTGCAAGGGTCATCTTCTATTTCCTTGATGACAATTTACAGTGTTATTTTTTTTAATATGGATTAATGTTAGTTGAATAAGTGAAAATAAACTGTTGAAATTAACAGTAAAAAAATGAGAAGTCAAATCTTTGCATTTCTACCAAACCTTTTCAAAACAATTTTGACTCTCTTTACCCTTTGGTTTCTTTGTGTTGATCTCAAGCTAATAGAAAAACGTGTATATATATCAAACTGACAATCAGGGCCGTAAACAAGTCGAATCAAGTTTGAGTATTGTTGAATTCTATTCGATTCAAAAACTTTGAAATAGAGCTTGTTTCGACTCGAAAACTCGTGAGCCTAACATTGTCAAGCTTGAGTGCTCGACTCAAACTCGAAATCATGAATTGAAGCTCATAAAAGCTCGAAATGGGAAAAAAATCTTAAACTTAACTTAATTGAAACTTCAAACTCGAATTTGATCATAAATACATGAGAACTTTATTCTGCATTTTTTTTTAAAAAAAAATCAACACATAAATATTAATATTATTAATATTTTTAAAAAAATAAGAAAGAAAATTCTAAACAACGGCATTTATGGGAATCGAACCAACATTCACATGGTTAAAAGCGACATGCTCAACCGGCTGAGCTAAGACGGCCAGTCCTGAGATATGTTCAATCATGATATTCTGTTTCGTTTGTAATTATTAAGGTAGTTTGCCTTGAAGAAAAAAGGTGTAGTGATAAAAAAACGTCCCTAACATTAGGTTAAATAGTTGTGTTTGCCCTATTGATTTTTGGAGCATTTTGATATTTAATGTTCTATTTTAAGACGAAAAGATTCATACGTGTACGAAAATTCTAATCAACAAATGATCAATGCTCTAAATTATCCCGGACAACTTAGCGTCAGAAGTTTAGCGGTTGATTGGGTTTACTAGCTTTATGTTTATTTATGTTAATTTTGTGTTATGAATGCTGTATTGGCTCTTAATTAGACTTAGATGCCATTGGGTTTAGGGTACAACTTGTGTGTATAAAAACAGTGCTACAACATCACCAAATAATATTCAACACCTTCCATTGATGTTCATTCTAGTATCAATTAAACAAATCTGCATAAAATTCAGCCAGAAATAAAAACTACTAAACAAGTCTAAAAAATTTCCTCAAAATGCTTATTTATATCAGACTTGTATTCTTCAGCAAGCAATGGCCATAGAGAAGATGAATCTTGATCAGCAAAGAATGGCCGGAAACAAGAAGAATCTAGCTCGCGAACGAATGGCGATAATGAAGGAGATTGTTGAGCAGCAACGAATGGCAATGAAGAAGAAGACTCTTGGACGCTAAGCTCCTCCAATCTAACCGCTGCTTTCCCCCTCAATTCCCTAAGCGCCGCAGCATGCTCCATCAGCTTCTAGATCGGCTCGTCCGATCCAAACTCACCGTTAACACGCCGCTCTTCGATGCCGTGATCGAGCGACGACGACGACGACTCCGCTTCGAGGACCGCGTCGATATTGTCGGTCACGTAAAATCTTCCGGATTTCGATATCGTGACGATGCCGACTTCGACCCCGCACAACGTCGACAGCGCCTTGGCTTTCTTGAACAACCCTTTTCTTCTCTTGGAGAAGGTTACTTGGCGTTTGCTCTCGTCTTCCAGTTTCTTGATTTCGATCCGTTGACGACCTCGGCTGCTCCTTGTTTTCTTCTTCTGAGTAGCATTTGGCATAGCATTATTATCCATGGTGATCCAGAAAACAGAAGAAGATCAGCCGAGGAGAAAGCACGGGGCTTCGAGTTTTATGCTTCTTTAAGCCTTGGGGTTCATTCATTAAACACAGGTTGATTTGGTTTTTATAGTTTACCTAAATAACCTAACTTGCACCAGAAGAAATCTTCTTTCCCCTAAATATTTCCCCCTCTCAAACACCGACTTGCAACTTTAAACTTCTTTACCGTTATTATCAATGCTATTTTTTATTTAAGGAAGTTAGTACTTAAATTATTAATTTTGGTCCGTTTTGAATATAAAAACTTTTAAAAATTTTAAAATCATACTTAAAGTTTACTTTTTGTTTCATTTTAATACCTTCGGTCAAAGTTTAGCGTTAAGTTTTGAATTTTTTTTTGAAAGTTTAGGTACTAAAATAGACCAAAATCGATAGTTTAGGTACTAGACGCGTTAAGTTTTTATAATGGGTTACTAAACTGAAATAAAAACTAAATGTTAGATATAGTTTTGAAAAAAAATTAAAAGTTTAGGTACTAAAATGAACTAAAACTGATAGTTTAAGTACTAAATGCATAGTTACCCTTTTATTTGTAAATCACGAATTTGTAAATCTAACATAAAAGATTAAGAGAAATAATGATGACAATAACCAACCCTACCCCTTACATCGCAAGGCTGATTTTGAACTTTTTTTTTTTTTTTTATTAATTTGAGACAATTACAATGTAGAATCTATTCAAAAGATTATTAACGAAAACTCAAACAACATTGCAGGCATCATGCTCAAACCCAACTACTGAGGTCTTTTGGTTCGTGTAATTTCCAACTTGTTGTCATATAATCTCATCTGCTTTGCTATTAAGATAGAACAAGTCAATCATTGAACATGGAGAAATGAACACACACATATACTAAGCTTGGGATTTGATTTTTAGGCCCTCCAAGCTTGGGATTTGATTTTTAGGCCCTCCAATTAATTATACACAATAAAAATCATATCTTGTGCTTCTTGTTTGAGCCCCTCCAAGGACCCTTCGTCCAATTTTTTCAGACAATTTATGGAGTTGAACATAAAAATCCATGCAACTTCCAGAAAGCAAGCAGCGATCATTCTCCATCACTTTTGCCTTATTTCTTGAAGCATTTCCACCACCTTCTTCATCTTGGGTCGATTGGCGGGTGCGGCATCGGTGCAGAGTAAAGCCACCTTCAGAGCTGCAAGCATTTCTCTCCTCCACCCGAAGGAAACGGTGCTGAGCCTCGCGTCGAGTATCTGCTCGGGGGTTTCCCCTCTCGCTCGAGCACCGTGAACCCATTTCACCAAGTCCACTCCTTCGCCAAACTCCTCTTCGACAGGCAATCGGGTGGTGAGGATCTCGAGCAACATGACGCCGTAGCTGTACACGTTACCTGGTGCAGTGACTTGCATTGTATATGCATATTCTGGATGAAAAACAGATACAAATCGATACACGGATTAAAAAGATTTAAGCGAAAAATCGCCACGACGAAATAAAGGAAACATGATATCAAATAATGGTACATTGATTAATTACCTGGTGGAATGTAGCCAAAGGAACCAGCAACAGCACTGATACTTGCAGTTCCCTTGGACGGATCTAAGAGCTTCGATATTTCGATCTCCCCAACCAATGGCTTAAACTCTGCATCTAAAAGTACATTATATGAAGATATGTCGAGGTGGATAACCGCCACATGGTGAAGGAAAGCCAATCCTTCTGCTACTCCGATGGCTATCGATAGTTTCCTGGGCCAGTCGGGCTGATAGTCGGGCTGCTTCGACGTCTCGTGAAGAAGTTGAGCTAGTGTGCCATTCGGCAAATATTGATGCAACAGAAGGGCAACATCCTCGTAGATGACAAAACCAATAGGCTGCACAAGATTATCATGACAAAGCTTGCTTAGCCTTTCGAGCTCCCTGATCATCTTGTTTTGATGATGAATTACGGTTCTATCGATCGACTTCAGTCTCTTCACCGCCAAAATCAATCCGGAGGGCATAACTGCTTTGTAGATGGTGCTGAAACTCCCATTGTTGATTTTGTTTGAATCCTTCAATGTGGCTTTGACTACAGCATCAAGATCTACAGCCTGCCTGAGATTCTCGACAAACACGTCCCCTGCTATTATGGTCGGCTGGCTACCGGGTTCTTCGTCTACGATATCCTCGCTTCTTGCGGCCTTTTCTTGTCTCTCCTTCATCATAAAGAGAAGAACCACTACACTGACAGATACGAACACCGCGAGACCTGAACCGAAAACAGCTAGTATAGTCCTGTAAGAAACCCTATGGTGGTAACCTGCCTGGTCCGAACTGATAGAGTCTGCACATGAGAAGCTCAATGGCTCCCCACACAGTCCTTTATTTCCTTGAAAGCTTGAACTCGGACTCTTCTGGAACGGTCTGAACACCGGGATCGGACCGACAAGAAAATTATTCGAGAAATTGACCTCAATCAAGCTCAACATGCCCTTGAGTGCCAGTGGAATATTACCGGTAAGCTGGTTACCGGAGACATCCAGAGAAACCAACTTATCTAGTTTCCCTAATTCCAGTGGCAATTGACCATGGAGACGATTGGAACTCAAATTTAAAGCTATCTGCATGTTGCGAATATGACCGATATCGGGAGGAATGATTCCGGTCAACAAGTTGCTGCTAAGCTGCAATTCAAGCAACTTCACACAATTTCCAATCTCACGGGGTATTTCCCCTTTGATTGAATTCTGATCCAAGAGCAAGTACTGCAATCTGCTCATATTGCAGATTTTCTTCGGTATAGTACCATTAAACTGGTTTCTGCTTAAATCAAGCTTGTTAAGACTCTTGCACCCCAGGATCGATCTAGGAATATCCCCGAACAGGCTGTTTCCAGAAAGAATCAGCTCTTGAAGATTCATCAGTCGTCCGATCTCCAGAGGAATTATCCCGGCGAATCCATTATAGGCCAAGTTCAAGAGTGTAAGATTAGTGCAGGAGGCAAACTCTGAGACAATTTCACCAGAGAGATTGTTGTTATCAGCCTCAAAGTATGTGAGGCTACCATCATTTCCAATGGTCCTGGGAATGGTACCAACGAGTTTATTATTCCCGATACGAACACTAGAAAGGCTTCCGCAATCGCCGATCTCTCGAGGAAGCTCACCAGTAAGTCCATTCTGGGTGAGGACCAAAACTCGAAGCTTCCCCATGGCGAAAATGCTCTTCGGTATCGGCCCGTCGAGCCGGTTCGAATGAAGGTTCAGCAATTCGAGTTGAGAAACCGAGCCTAGGTTATCAGGAATCCTACCAACTAATTGATTCTCATAGGCCGTAAAAACTCTCAAATTGGTCAAATGCCCCACCCAATGTGGAACAGAACCATTCAATCTATTGCTGGAAATCTGAAACTCCTGCAAATTTCCCAGCACCTCAAGTTCTCTAGGTATCTCTCCTACAAGTAAGTTGTTCGACAAATTCAACCATCTAAGTTTTCCAAGACCGCCAAACTCTACTGGAACACAACCCTCAAACTTATTCAATGACAAATCCAGGTATTCAAGCTCAGACAAATTCCCAAAACCAGAAGGAATTGGTCCATTGAAGCTATTATAAGAAAGATCAAGGTGCTTCAGTGCTTTAAGATTAGAGACTAAAGCAACATTACCACTAAGCATACGCCTGGAAAGATCAAGCCTTTCAACCAAGGAATGGTTGATGCCACAAAGAACACCTTCCCAGTTGCAATAATCTGTTGTGTTGTCACCCCAACCTGCAACACCACCTAGCTCCTCGTTAATGGCTAACAATGTGGCGGTTTCATCCGGCTGAGCATCCCCGGATTTTGATAGGAACCAAACTAGCAAAAAAGACAACTGCAAATACGCCATTTTTTGGGGTCTGCAAAGCACTTTACTTTTCTCAAAGATTCCTTCCCTTTTTATCTTTCCTCCAAATCAAGCAGCGAGCTTGGAGCTGAAAACATCAACTTTCTTACTGATCAAAGCATCAGAGCTCGCCAGAAAATGGAGAGAACCCAGAGTTTGAAATATCCCAGCATAGATATTGTGAAGAAGAAGCAAGCAACCCCATGGTTTCAGGAATGATTAAAACGATAGAGAGAGGCAAAACAAGGAGAAAGAAACAAAAGGGTCGAATCAGAAAGCATAGGAGGGAACGGGCATGTTTGATTTAGATGAAAGAAGATGATCACGTTTGTTCTTTTGCAGAAACAGGAGAAAGACGACGAGGGAAAGACTAAAGGGAAAGGGAGACAGAAGACTATGCAGGGAACAGGAGAGAGAGGGAGACAATCGGGGGGGAGGGGGGGGGTCTGAAAAGAAGAGAATTTTACTACTTGATCACGTAAAGCGTTTTCACGATAAATTAGCTGGCATCACTGAACCAGGGCTTCACTCTACTGCTTCAAACTCTCCCCCTCGGATATACTGAAAAACGGTAAGGTGTCATGGAACATGATACTGCCAAGTAGGGGTAAATAAATTTCTACTCAATTCCAAAAATTAATGTCTTCATGTTATTTGACTCGAAGAATTTTTTCTAGGGTTGTTTTAAAATTGGATATTCGTTATTTTTTTTATATCCGAAATATCGGATATTCAGTTCTTCAGGTATTATATTTTATCAGTTTGTGATACGATCCATTAAGTTTGAGTATCCGATAGTAGATTACTCATAAAATTTTAGTATCTATATTTTCGAGTCACATATACTCAGTTCATTTTTATTTTTATTTTTAATTTAATTTTTTGAAAATACATTAAATTTTAAAAATTCAAAACATACAATTCATACATAAAAATTAGGGTAAACTATATAAATGGCCACGTAACTATGGGTCAGGTCACGAAATGCTCACTATTTTTAAAATTGTCACAAATTTACTACTGAATTATTTAAATGGGTTCGAAATAGCCACACGACGTTAACATTTAACTGATATGCTTACGTGGCAGCTAAAAAATTGGTTTAATCATGGTGCAGGTTCTTGTAAAGTTACGTATTCACGCCACTGACACCCTTCTTTGTTTTCTTACATTTTGGTCACTACTTGTATATGATTTGTTTTCTTGCATTTTCATTTGATCCAATTTGATCCTGATTTTGTTTTTAATTTGTCTAATGCCTTAATTTGGGCATTAACTTTAAAATCATTTATTCTAGTCATGTATTAAATTTGTATATTAAATCCACTAAAGTTTAGAATTAATCAATTTGATCGCTAAGATTAACTTTAGTTCTTAATTTTTAATTAGGTCATAATTTCAATTTAATTTAATAAATTTATTTCTCCAATCAAATTGTGACACATGTCACAATCTTATGATTATAATTTGAAATATTAACTATAATATAATATATATTTTATCATATATATTATAATTTTCAAGTTTAAGTGGAATTCATCGACTATGAAAGATATATGTAAACAAATATGAAATATATATATATGTATTATATATGATTATATAAAATTATTTAGATTGGAATCAAATAATAACATAATAATATAAATATTTATAATTAATATTAACAAAAATTCGAGCAATTCAATTCAACATTAATTACAAAAATATTTAAACCAAATTTATATTATAAAATAAGACTCGATTCAACGCTCAACCCTACTGCCAATCACTCTTCTTTTTAATGTTTTTTCTTCTACATCGAATCGATTTAAAATAAGAAAAACTTCTCAAGTCTATTTTCTTTATTTTACAAATCGATTAAAAATCATCGGAAGAAAATCGTTTGTGGTCTAATTTTCTTTTTATATTTTTCATAATATTTTAGTTTTTTACTTTTGTTTGAAATTATTAAAATTATCTTTTAAAAAATATTAAAAAGTTATCAGAAATAAGATTTTAATTACAATTAAAATATTAAATGATACAATAATTATTAACTTAATGTGTCATGCTATTTTTTTAGCAATTAATGAGTATACTTTAAGTATTTCTTTTGACTAAAAAGTATTTTAAGTACTTAGACTAAAAAAGAGTATACTTTATATAATTTATTTATAATATAAACCTAAAATTTATGGAATTCGGAGAGTAATTCATTTTTTATATTTTAGAAGAAAATTTGAATTTTTTGAGTATGTTAGCCCCAAACATTTTATTTTAGTGTAAAAATACCCCTAACATTTGACATATAATCATTTTGACCCTTATTCATCTTTCTAGAGCATTTTAGTCTTCACCGTTTTATTTTAGGTTAAAAATTCATGTTTTGGAGCGTTAATCGTGTGTTAACTAATTATTTTAATCTATAGATTGAGCTTTTTGTCTTAAAGTAAAATGTTGCGGGCTAAAATCCCCCAAAAAAGAATAGGGGTCAAAATAATCATTTTCGTAAATGTCGAAGGCTATTTTTGGTATTATGTCTTAATATTATTGTCAAAAGATATTTTTTAAATAGATAAAATATTTAAATATTTTTAAGAATAAACAATAATTAATAATATAAATAAAGATAAATATGTAATTTTACTCAAAAAAATATAGATTTAATCTTTTAAAAAATAATATTTAACTCAATTTGAAAAATACTTTTAACATGAAAAAATTGTATTTTTTTATTTTGATCTTAAAAACAATTTTGATTCCAAAAACAATTTTAAAAACCACAAAAGGCCTAAGATTATAACAACAACCAATTGGTTTAATGATAGACGAGTTGTGTGGCTTACACCCTTGATAACATTGGGACCAGAGTTCAAATTTATATAACCATCCTTGTACTTTAAATAGAAAAATACAAACTTTCAATTTTAAGTATTTTCAAACTGCACGAATCAACTTATCTCGGTGGTTAAAATATTTTTTATCGATTGATTTAATATAATAAAGTTTATCTATATGTTATAGTTTTTAAAATTAATTTTTTAATTTTATTAACTTAATTGAATATAGGGTTTGGTTTAAGGGCTAAAGTGCTTGCATTCTCTCTTAAATTCCCTACTATTGTTATAGCAGATTACATATGAGATGTTGTAAAATATAACCAATTGAGAGGCTTAGCCTGGTGATTCAGGTGTGCCTTAAGTTTGCCCCAGGTCACAGATTTAATCCACCTTGGAAGCAGGTTATATTTCAAAGCATTTTGCTGATTATATGTAAAATAAAATAAATAATTAAAATTAATAAAATATCATCTAATCTGATAGTGACACATGTCACCACCTAATTGGACATTAAATTTATCAAATTGAATTAAAATTATGGCCAAATTGATAGAATGTATAAACATTGAGGATCAAATGTATAATTATACTGATTTTATTAACTGCCACATCAACGCTTCCTTTAACTATTAACGATAAGTGGTCTGATTGAATATATTTAAATAGGTGGGTGACCTAATTGATAAAAAATCAAAATAATGATCAAAATAAAAAAGATTTATAATTAGGTGGTTACTTCTCCCAAATTTTAAATAAAATATTTTTTAAAATATGAGGTTGGAGCAGGCTAAAAAAGTAAACCCACATTCGACTCAAGTCAGACAAATCAGACCGACTACCATGTTTTTATTATATATATATTCTCATGTTTTTTTATTAATAGAGTTTTTTTAAATTTGTTTTTAATATAAAATTATATGCATGTTACTAAAAATCGTATAATATTTTCATAGATAAACTACGTATTTAATATTTAAACTATTCGTTTTGGTCTGTTTTAATATTTAAATTTTTATTTTTTTTTTCAAAATCATACCTAAAGTTTAATTTTTATTTCAGTTTAGTATCATGTTCAAAATTTAACGTTATGTTTTGAAAATATTGAAAGTTTAGGTACTAAACGCATTTAATTTTTAATGGCGGGGTACTAAAATAAAATGAAAACCTAAACGTTAGGTATGATTTTAAAAAATTAAAAGCTTAAGTACTAAAACATATCAAAACTAATAGTTTATGTATTAAATTCATAATTTACCCTATTATCATTAGTTTTGCCTTTTTACCTAAAGTCTTGTATGATGATAAATCATCTTTACATGAGGTGGTGGGTCATCTTAATGTGGAATAGACCACTCATGTCTGAGATCCCACTTTGAAATAATTAGTCTAGCTAGGCCCTATTTTATTTTACTATTTTAATATAACTGGAAAGAGGAACATGGAGGAGACTTTAGATGTTGATCATTAGGAAGTAACAAACTAGTCTCAATATTTGGCACAAAACAATTCTAGTCCAGTTGGTATTTATCGGGATCGGGATGAATATATGATTTTATGTTAAGAAATAAACTCATAATATTTTTTTAAAAAAATGAACTTAATAATAGATTTTAAAAATATTATAACAGACACGTATATTAATAATGTAAAATTTTGTATGAGATATGTAGTAAAATTTTAAGACATACATAATTAATAAAATGAATTATTAATGAAAGAAAATTTAAATTTCAGGGTACATACCTACCCTAAAAATAAGTTGTATCTATATTGTACAAACTTATAAAATTTTTAAAAGAAAAATGAATTATTAATAAAAATAAAAAATATTTTAAAATATACAAATTTTAAAATTGAGCATTATGAGAAATTATCCACAAACGTAAAATCGTGTATTGAAATTCAATCCAAAGGTTCATGAGCTAATTATTTAGCTCAATATTACACCTGATTTTTTTTTATTTTAGAAACTACGATATTTGTTACCGTGACTTAGAACTCGTCACGCCCTATTATGACGTGATAAAATCTAATAAAAATATATTTTTTAAAATTTATCAATTCGATGTAATAAATTAAAATAAAAATTTATTTGGACAAACTCATCATATAAGCGTGACAAATTTGCCTTGTACTGTAGTATTTACCGTAAATTACAAAATAATTTTCGAGATAACTTGATGGGTTAACTTTTTCACCCGCCTGACCTATTAGGCCAATTTTACCAGACAGGCTACCCACCCAATCCCAACAGCCCGCCCGAGAATGAAGAAGATTTTAGTATAAATCCTTTGCTATAAAAAAAGGGCTTACGATTCGGTTCGATATTTTTTTTAAGTAATTTATAGGTTTTTTAGTTCATTATTTTTATATTAATTTAATTTTTTAGAATTTATAATTTATTTCAAAAGAAATAACTTTATTTTGAGATTTAATTTCAATTTTTTAAAGATAAAAACCGAGTTAAAAATAAT